TTTCTTGTAAATTTGTTTCAGTTTCTTATAGACTCTGGATATTAGACTCAGACAGATAAGTTGCAGAATTTTCTCCCATTCTGTAGGTTCTCTGTTCACTCTGATGACAGTTTGTTTTGCTGAAACACAGATATCTTATAGCAATGGTCCCCAACTTCTTGGCACCAGGGACTGGTTTCATGGAAGACAGTTTTTCCATGGTCCACGGAGGGGATGGTTTCAGCATAATTTAAGCACATTACATTTATTGTGTACTTTAGTTCTGTTATTCCTACATCGTAATAAATAATGAAGTAATTACACAACTCATAATGTAGAATTAGTGGGAGCCCTAAGCTTGTTTTCCTTCAACTAGACGGTCCCATCTCAGGGTGATGAGAGACAGTGACAGATCAGCAGGCATTAGATTCTCATCAGGAGCATGCCACCTAGATCCCTGGCACGCACAGTTCATACGCGGGTTTGCACGCCTATGAGAATCTAATGCCGCGGCTGATCGGACAGGAGGCGGAGCTCAGACAGTAATGAGAATGACGGGGAGCGGCTGTAAATACAGATGAAGCTTTTCTCACTCACTGCCCACCTCGTGCTGTGAGGCCACGGACTGGTACTGGTCTGTGGCCCGGGAGTTGGGAACCCCTGTCTTATAGTTTATAGGTATAGATTCATAGACATCCCTTTTCCACATTCACAGAAGGGACAGTGGCACACACAGAGCTCCGTGCCTCGCTGGAGAATGTGTCTTAGAGCGCCTCCTGTCAGCACAGCAGGCCGGCCTCCTCGGCCCGTGTTGAGGAACTGCACGGTGTTCTCTCGTGACTGCCCCTCAATAACTGAAGCCCACCCCGGCCGACGGATGTCTACGTTATGAGTTATTTCCAGATTTGGCTTTGGTCTTTTCCCTCACAGATCATGCTAGAGTGAAGTATGTTCTGGGGGATAGTCTAGGTGCGTGTTTGAGGCTCTCCATGGGCCAGGGCCTCGGAGGGGAGTTGCTGAACTGAAGGATGGATTTTGTCAGCCTCGATGTTGCCACCAGAAGGGCCGCTCACTTTCGGCCCCAACAGTGGTGCCCGGCCTCTGTCTCTGCTTCCGTGTTCCTAGCTGGAATGAGTCAGCTTTAACTTTTTGCAGTCTGCTAGTGAGCAGTGAATAGTATCTCCTTTGGCTTTGATTTGTACCTAATTAGGAGTCAGTCAAGAATTTTGTATGTTTGCTGCTTATCTGCCTGTCATTTTCTGTGAACTGTTCATATCCTTTGCTATTTTTTCTGTTGAATTTTCTTTCTCTTGTTTCTTTGCATGCACAGTTGGAGGTTTTGAATTGTCAAAGTAGCACGATCAGATGTGAGTCTCAGGCACAGCGGCAGTAATGCAGGTGTTCTGCGGGTGATGCTGGTGGTGGCACACGCAGGCCTCCGTTTCTGAAGTGCCTCAGGCTTCTCACAAGAGGAATTGTAGCTTCTCCGTGAGGGTCAGAAGGCATTTGATGTTTCCTGTCTTCCTGCATTTTTGTCTCTGAAGAGCTGATTTGGCTAGAGAGGTTGTTAAACCTCGATTTCATCTTAGCTGCTCTTTTAGGCTCAGATAATCCTTTTGTGGTGCCACTCATTACAGATTTGCAAAACGCATTAGTACTGCTGAAACTGTCCCTCGGGACCTGGTGTCTAGTGGTGACTATTCAGTGTTTTTAAAGAAACAAGGCCGTGCCGTCACGGGCTCCTGACTTCACAGCGGCGATTCTCCCCCGAGGTAAGTTGATTAAACCTATTTTGCTTTCAGCAGGAATTTGTTTTTAGTCTTTTTGAGAACTGCCCTTTTTGTTCTTCTTAAGTATGAGTCTTGCTAATATAAAGCTGACATGAATGTGAGCTGTTTCCCTTTGTGACACGGTTAAACGGTCCAGTGTTCACATCATTGTATTTTCACCACCTGACATTTGCTGTGTTGTTATTCCTGTTTAATGCCCAGAAGTCCATCTTCATGGTGGGCTGCTTGTGGGCATTTGGTGGGCATTTCTGTGAAAATTTCTGTAGATTAGCTCGGGATATTGGGTTCAAGTTTCTCCTTCCACTGGACCTGATGGAAAATCCACTTCTCAGCGATGCCCCGGACCACACAGCGATACTGATTCTCGGTTGTCTCTCAGGCTGGAGAATCGGGAAGGGAGAAGGCTACGCCGATCTGGAATATGCCATGATGGTATCCATGGGTGCCGTCAGCACGGAGACGCCGGTGGTCACCATCGTCCACGACTGCCAGGTGCTCCTTATGAATGGGCTGAGCAGAGCCACTGCCACTCTCTTCTGAGGGAGCGGGGGGTGGGGAAAGAGACTCGTCTGCTTCTGAACCATGCCGTGTCATGAGTGGTGTGGATCAGCCAGGGCTGGACTTGCTAGTGGCGCAGTGGCTAAGCCTTAGCCCCAGAGTGGATATGGGGGTGCTTTTCTAGCCAGCCTCACATTCCCACTGGGTGGGGCAGTATGCACGACTGCAGTGGCATTCCTACCAGCTCCTTTATCCTGAAGTGGCGTTCCCACCAGCCCCTTTATCCCGCCTCCGTTCCCCCAGGTCGTGGACATCCCTGAAGAGCTCCTTGAGGAGCACGACATCACCGTTGACTACATCCTCACTCCAACCAGAGTCATCGCCACAGGCTGCGAGCGCCCACAGCCAATGGGAATCACCTGGTCCAAGGTGGGTCACGGCCGTGGCCAGCTCTGGCCTGTAGCTTAGCGGCCCCTCCTCTTTTAAGTGTTTTCTGTCTGGCATGGGAGCTGTTGGCAATCCCAGCGTGGCTATACATTAGAATTACCCAAGGAGCTTTTGAACAATTTGGCTCCTGAATGACAATCTCCAGGCCCAGGCCCAAGAATCTGCTTACAGATCTCTGGCATTCTAAAAAGCAGCTGGGTTTAAAATCCGCCTCTGTGGATGGCAGAAATGGCCACATGGGCTAGGAGGGCGAATGCCTTGAAGCTTTACTTGCCCACTGTTTTTCATTGTTAAGAGTTGTTTTCTGCCATCCCAGGTGCAGCAAACTCTGCCTGGCATTATCTCATTGGTCTTCCCTTTTTAAATCCAGATTTTTTTTTTAACTGAAGATCTGGATCTTCAAGCAGATCTAGCCTGAGTAGAAGGCAGTACCAAGCCTTTGTACATTTTATACATGTGTGGTTTTTATTTCCAGATTAGGTAATGGCACACGTTGCAAATCAGTCTGCAGTAGGAGTTTGGCCCTGTGAGGCAGCCTGTAGGCTATGATGCTGTCTCTGCTGGCAAACAGCCAGAATTACTGAGAAGACATTTGTGCTTCGTGTGGACAAAACTATTGGTCAAATAAGCATATGTGTCCACGTCTCCCATTCTTTAAACCCAAGTCATTCAGTGTTTGAAAGTATCTTTCCTTTGGGCATGGAAAATCAACAGCATCCACCTCTAAGGATGAACACAAAATACCTGTTACTTTCGCCACAGCCCAGCAGGGACTTTCCCTGCAGGCGTCCTGGGCAGGCACTGTTGGGGCCTCTCAGGTGTGCACTCCTCGGTTGGTTGCTGATGAAGCAGAGGGAACAGCCTGTGTGACCCAGAGTGGATGGGCGGCCCTCCAAGCGCACCAGGAGCACTGGGGAGAAGGCGGTCACTGCTCTTCCAGGAAATGAAAATATCCCTTGGTGTCTTTCTTCAGAGTCTTTCACCTGGGAGCTCTGGTCCACAGCTTCCTTGTAAGTGGAAGCCAATGCACTAGACAGAGCGCGAGGCTGGTGGCTCCTCAGAGCCAAGAACAGGGATGGTGGGAAAGTTGCACAAGGGCATTAGCCACAGTGAGGCTGCTGGCAGTCCCTCCAGGCCAGCATGTTAGAGAAGGGGCCCATTGCAGCCATATTAGGGGGAGCCTGGACAGCCTCTCCCGGAAGAGAGCTAGGAACAGCCTGGTTAGTTTCTGAAGATTTTAACAAGAAAAGTAGAAAAGTAGCAACAAATGAAGTCATCGGACATGTTAGGTGAATATATCCTCTTACAGAAAAGCAAACCAAGGTTCCTGAAACAGGGTCAGCACTGTGGGGGAGGGAGGGCATTGGGGGCGTCACTGTTTGTCGAGACCCTCTTCCAGGAAAATGGTCACTGTTTATGAGGCCTCAGCAAGAATCTCAAACTTTTAAAAACCTGTCTCTCATTTTGGGTCCTGTGTTCTCAGTTTCACCACCTGGTAATCCCTTTGCATGGTCAGAGGAAATCAGTCACTTTCTCTAGCCCCCAGCGTTTCTGTTTTAGTCTCACTAACCATGCAGCTCAAGTGAGTTTTTATCAACATTTGTTGGGAGAAAAAAAAAATCCCTAAATTCCAGGAAAGATTTTGGATGTGGAAGGGGGGACTGTTCAGTGCTAGGTTATGATATCATTTCAAATGGACTTTTTGGCAAATATTTGGTATACCCCTCCATGATATTATAGTGGTAATGATTTATCACTATAGGTTTGTAGGTCTTAGAATCCAAGAATTTACCTCTTGGCCATCTCACTGGGATATCTGCGATGCACTGTCGATCGCTTGTGGAAGGATGTGAAGGAAGCACAAACTGCCTTGCCTTTACTCATTTTCAAAACACAAAGATAGTTCAGCATCTGATTCCCTGGCCTTTGTTCCACCTTTCCAATAGTTGACGTCCTGCCCTGTCTTACAGAGCAGTCTAATACACGCTCCGTTTGAGTGCAGTTACTGTAAACAGCGCATCTCCTTGATTCACCGTCAACATCCGCGTGGACTCTTCTCAGCCTGTGTCTCATGATTTTGAAGAAAGGAGACCAAGTGGCCAGTGAGCGTATTGCTCAGTTTAGCAGTCAAGAGTTTCCCACTTCGTAGCTCTGTCTGTAACCTCCAGCACACCCTCCGAGCCCCTCGTTTGTCTTTGAAATAGGAGGGTGCGCGGCAGTGCACGTAGAATGCCCAGGACGATGCTTGCGAGCATGGCCACAGTCTTCATCATTGTCACAAATGGGAGGTTGGTTGTTAAAGTTGAGAAATCTTCCTGGACGTCATGCATGTTTCTTCTTTCTCTGTGCTGCTGGTAGAATCCTTAGGATGGTCCTTCTGGGTAGCTCACTGAGCCAAGATGGGGTCCTTCATGTGTCTCCCTGTGGCCACGGGTTGTCACGTGGTGCCCTGATATGCCCTTTACTACCTCTCAGTGGAGGACAAGGAGAGAAAGGCACTGACCCGGCTCTCCAGCCCTTCGGCTGCTCCATACCGCCTGTGACCGTGCAGGTGCTTTGCAGAGACCCCCCACGAGGAGCCATTGTTCCTCCTCCATCTCCTCTTCAACAAAGGAAGCCTGGTAGGGTTGGGAAAGGGGCTGAAAGTGCATTCCGGCGCTCTGCACCCTCATCAGAAACTTTCTGGCAGGAAGAGAGAGGCACAGAGACGTTCCCCAGAAGGCTCTGCTTTTACTCCTCCTTTCTAGAAGGCACATTGTCTGCTCTGTCCTCGTGGGCTCTTCTGTCTCTGGGGGCGATTGCCTCACCCACAGACCCGTGAAACTCAGGGTGACTTGGCCACATCCAAGCCACAAGATGCATAGCCACTGCTGCCCCATCTCCCAGTCACCGCACCCTGAGAACCCAGGACTCCCTGAAACCCCAGCTATACCAAGGATCTCTGCCAGGCTGGAGATGGTACCAGAGACCTGGGCCTGAAGCTGGAATGTGGTCCTGAACCTCTGGGCAGTTCGTCCAGCTCCGGTGATCTTCTGATCTTGGAGACAGTCATGCGATGTCCCTCCCTGTGACAGCCATGTGTCAGGTGATCTGCAGTGGGCTGAGAGCCATTTGGCTGTCTCAGCTCTGTGCAGTAGCAAACCGAAAATGGCTGAATTCCCGGACCCGCTAGTGTCGAGCAGCCCCGGCCACTGACCAGTGCCTGCCCTTGTGGGGCAGAGTCCCAGCCAGCTTCCAGGGCTGAGTGGTGTCCTGTGAGTCACTGGCAACAGAAGAACGGAACTTCCTGTTGAGACCCATGGTCACCTGCTGGACTCAAGTGAGCACCTGGACAGCAGCAGCGGGTGGAGCCTCTCTGGGGAGACCCGGGTCTGCCACCACCCTGGAAGCCCCGTTCTGCCCAAGCCGCACCTGGGCAGTGGAGACGCGCCACACCATTGTAGTGTTTCCCTAGAGCTGGCCTGAGCTGGGGAGCCAGAAAGATACATGTTAGAATACCTCGGAGACGGAGAGGAATGGTAGGACATGGCTACAGACTCCAGAACCTCAACTGCGCCGAAGGCAAGGCCAGCCTGACTCTAGGAGACTGAGGGCTTAGGAGAAGCCACTCGGGCACCCACAAGCCTGTGGTCCCCATCACCAGACCCACAAGCCAGAGGACCTTTTGGCCTTTGCCAGGTGGAAGGACTGTCAGTCACACACATCTTCTCACCCGTCCTGTGCTCTTCATTGGAACTCCCATCAGCATATGGCTCCTGATTACCACGGGGGTGGCGAGGATACCATAGACCAAGGTCTGTGCGTCTGACTTTCCCGGGTCAACTCATTTGCTCCTTAATGAAGGAAACTGGATTCTTCCAGAGCCACTCTCGTGCTTACACTCAAGGAAACAATTCTGTGGCTTTCAAAGCATGGCCCGTTCTTCCCCACACAGCCTGCTGGGGAGAGTGGTCTTCAGATGGCCACAGTATGCTGCATGATCTATAGACACTTCAAGAAAAAGGATTTGAGGACAGTCTCCTCTGTGACAGCAGTCCTGGGACAGCAAAGCCCAATTTCAGATCCCACATAAGACAAAATTGTTCTCTGCAAATAATGCAGCTAACTGTGAACCAACCCCTACCCACAACTGGGCCAGTACATTTAGAGGGCTGAGAGAGGCTTTCATTGAAAAAGAATTACTATGTTTGACCTAATAATTTACCTTCTAGGAATCAGTTCTAGAGAAGTATGTAGAAATTCACATAAGGATTTATTGAATTTCTATAGAAGACTTGCAGTGCCTTAAAACGGGGATGGGGGGAGTCCATTTAAGTGCATACAGCTTTTTAAGGAATATTTAGTGGCATGAGAAAATGCATGTGGTATAAAGTAGAAAAGGCACAATATGATATTATACATGCTTGATAATGAATTTCATATTCTGCTCATGTTAAAAGGCAGAGAGAAAAGACGGGGAGGAAATACAACAGAATATTAACAGTATTTATCTCTGGGAGATAGGATTTCAAATGTTTCTACTTTTTTCCCAAATTTCCCACAACAAGCATATCCTAATTTTATAATCAACAATATTTAGGAAAAAAACAGTAAATTTGTTCAACATTTTCCAAGGTAGACATTGTGCCCAGGTGCATTTGAACCCAGTCACGCAGCAGTAAGGTAGGTATCTGTTCCCAGTGTACTCAGTTGGTAGAAATGAGAATTCAGAAACAAAAATAGTTAAAGATGCGCCAGTCCTTAAAACTCACGCACACACGTGGGTAGGGTGACACTGGAACAGCCAACACGGAAAGCTCAAGTGTGTCTGTGTGAGGGGAACCATGCGGCTGCTCTTCTCCCAGGGCCCAAACTCCAAGTGCGAAAGTGACACAGGAGCTGCTGGTCCCATGCAGGACTCTGCGCAGAGCAGGCGGAGGGAGGCACGTCACTCCCACGGGCCTTGCAATGACGGCCAGGCAGGAGCCATGGCGTGCAGATGGAAGCTGGCATCTCGCAGCATCAGTTTTAAGGTGATCATGTATACCAGAAAACAGAAATATTTTTTTACTAAATAGTTCTTAGTGACTTCCATACCCCTCCCAAGTTGAGCCATCCCTTCCCGATGTTGGGGTACAGTCGAACGCAGTGCTGCGTGTGGTCAGGCCCCTGTTGGGAGATCCAGGCCTCGCCCCTGCTGTCCGCCAGCACTCCCAGTAGAAGTGTGATTGTAAAGCGGTGGCCCTATTGAGTCTTTTTCTACCAACTGACATAGTTGATCAAACAACTATGAACAAAAGGGTTTTCCGTGAGCCATGTTGAAGAGATTCTGCCCTTAGAGAGCCAGCAGAGGCTTCGAGGCCTACCTGGCGTTTATGTTTACGGAAGGCAGCACATTCCGTTGGCCTTCCCTGTGCTCTCCTCTGAGCATACCTTCCATATGGTTATTTCACTGTGGCCATTTGGAAGTATCTTAAGGCATTTTCATCAGTGAACAATCACATTTAGTCTCGGGCAAGAGAACTCACTATTTATGGAGGTTGAACTTAGTATTAGAAATACTTCTGATGTCTGCTCATCTTGGCCAGCATGGCTCACGCCTATAATCCCAGCACTTTGGGAGACCGTGGCAAGAGGATCACGTGAGCCCAGGAGTTCAAGACCAGCCTGAGAAACATAGCAAGACCCCATCTCTACTGAAAATAGAGGACTTAGCTGGGTGTGGTGGTGAGTGCCTACGTGGAGTGCCAGCTGCTTGGGAGGCTAAGGCAGAAGGATTGCTTGGAGTTGGGTATTCAAGGCTGCAGTGAGCTATGAGTTGTGCCACTGTACTCCAGCCTGGGTGACATGGTGAGACCCTGTCTCTCAAAAAGAAAAAAGAAAAGGGGGGGATTCAAAAATCATCCAGTTTCCTTATCTCCAGGTCAGGTAATGCAGGAGTCAGAAAGAAAAGCAGTTTATCCAAAATGGTAAAAGCAGCATGTAGCTGCCTTAGGATTAGAGCCCAAGTCTCTGCTTTTTGACCAATTTCTGACTCTCAATGAGATATCTTAAAAGTCAGATTTCAGATTCATATTTGACTTAGCATGTCTAGGGGACAGGTTTTTAAACTTTATTTTAATATGATAATATAATAATATTTAATATAAATACAAGTTCTATTTTTTTGAGAATAGAATTAGTTATAAAAAGGCAAAAATGTTTTCTCATGTTTGATTAACAAGCAAAATGTTTCACTTCACATGCCACATTGGCAGAATGTAACAGCTGTTCCTCGTTGCCAGCCGGGAAACAGTAGCACTGCCATGCGCTCGTCCCGACCGTGGTGTCCAGCCACCCTGCTGGCTGGTGCACAGGAGGCTTTCTTGTCAGCTGTGGCAGGGATCGGCCCAGTCCTCCAGCAGCTGGCAGAGTGGCAGAGCTGCCCCGCAGCCAGGAAGATGTTTCCATTAGAGCTTGAGGAGGAGGGAGCTGATGCGAAGCCTTGTCATCCTTTACCCAAAAACACTGCTCGTGAAAAGAGCGATTTTACTTCAGTGGAACACACTTGCGCATTTCCATTCTAACGGCCCCCCTGCGGATGCCAGTGTGTCGGTGCCCTGGCCGTCCAGTCAGCTCATAATGTGTGGTTAAGATGTTTTCATTATTCTTCAGCCGATTGTATGTTTGCTGGCTCAGAATGGAGGAGCTCCCTGTGATGTGCATGGAAGGATATATTTGTCTTTCCCACCGCGTGTTTCAAAACAGATTTCTGCTGTAAAACCCCAAGTGTGAAGCCTCGCCCGAGAATGCTTGCTTCTGCCATAGGGAACCTTGAGGTGCTACTGGACACAGATGGGAGGGGAAGTAACTCGGGGGGCAGGAAACTGGGCTGGCGCAGCTCCCGATAGACCCCATCAGAAGAGCAGTGTTTACCCGGAGGGTGCAGCCTGCCCCCACACTTACTGCCCCCACACAGCCTACCCCTTACTGCACTCCTTACCTCATCCCCACCCCCAGCCCACTTGATGCTCTCACCTCAAGGCTTCTGGTGCTGTCCTCAGAGCCAAGTAACTTTCAGTTCTTCCAGATAAATGCATAGCCACACTTTTTCTCTCATTGTAATTGCAGTTTTAAATTTTATCATCTGTTCTCAGTACTAAATCTGGTCATTTAAAAGATCCTTCAAAATCAGGTGATGACCAGTTTATATCTATTTTTAAATACTTCAGAAGAACACAAAAGCCTGAACTGTCTGAGAAGGTGGAGTAGAGGTGTGGAAAGAGGTTGGGTTGGTTGGACTTCGGTCATTTTTGAGATTCCCTGGGCCCCAGAGCTTGTATGATACTGCTCTGTGAGTTACATCTCCTCGCAGTCAGTCAGTTGAGAAGGGTGGCCGAGGGCCCAGTGGAAGGGAAATGCCTTGTAATTAGAAGAGAGCACATCGCGGGTATGTTCATGGCATAGGCGTGAGTTGTTTTCCTTTGTGTCTGAACAATGGGAAGTGTTGAAGCAAGCCTTTGCAGAGTCTTTCTATGACAGCCAAGAGTCTGTTTGCCATTCAAGACCAAAATGAGGCCTTGTGCCTGCCACCTGCCAAGGCTTCTGATGGGGCAGTGCCAGGGAGCAGAGTGGCATCCCGCCACAGAGGACTCCGACCAAAGCGAAGGTTCCGCCGGGGGGGGACGTTACTTTCCACCCAGCACGGGGAGACAGAGCCAGGTGCTGGACGAGAGAGGACTGAGAGCCTCTAGGTTTGCAGGAACGCACTTGGCTGTTCTTAGGTGTTTGTGTATCTGTAACTATTACTCTAATTTATTGATGCTTAACTGGGGGCCTGTGCACCTCTTGTAGCTTGGAGGCCCATGAATAGCCTTTGTTGACCCTGGGAAATTGTACAGAAAATTGTGGGTGAGTCATTCCTGGGAGGGAACCCCAGCTCCTCACAAAGGTTCCTCTGTCACCCTGCCAAGGATAAGAACCATTGCTCGAAATTACATATTATTCTGAATGTAATGAGAGCATTGATACTAGTTGAACTGTTTCATCTTGTAGAACAATTTATAGTTGTCTAGCTCAGGTGCTGCCTCATACTGTGACATACTCACTTCTGTTAGAGGCCTGCAGGTGACCACGGCTTGCCTCTTGGTGACCATGCTCATGTGAAAGCTTGGTGCCCAAAAGAAAAATAAAAAACATCTCTAAAGAATGAGAATTGTCAAAAAGGACTACACAGTGTCTGTTTCTTTTCTGCACAGGGCACGGTGGTCCAGGTGTCACCTGACTTGTGCTGACCCACAGGCAGCCCCCAGTGCAAACTGCCCCACAGGACGGAGCCAACAGGCCTTCACTGTTTAGGCTGCCTCAAGCCAGTTCAAGTCTGTTCCAAGGGGCCCGCTGCAGTAGCTGATTGATTAGAAAAATCTGGATAAAGCCAAAGATGTCCTTTGTCTACAAATCCCATACAATTGAGACTTAAGCTTTTGCGTAGTATTACTGATTTCATAGTTTGGTGACCCGTCACTAGGAAGTGTTTTCAAAGCTGTGTTTCAGATTTGCCTTGTTTTCTGCATTTTTGGCTCTGCATTGAAGGGGATGATCCCTGACAGATGTTCCCTCAGTGGAGAGGAGACCCCTGTGATACTATTAAAGTCCTCGTGCCACCCAAAGGCACAGATAGGGGGCAGATACAGAGGCAGCTCCCTGTTATTCTCGGTGCGGGGGAAGTCATTAGGGGAGCTGCCTTTGGTAACCCTGTAATCCCAACAGTAGCAACCTTAGGTGCCTCTTCTGGGTAGGAGGCCTGAGCAGAGAGCCCTAGCTTTACTTTCCTGCTTCGGGGCCTGGAGGAAAAAGGCGCAACCTTGCAACCTCCACAGCGTGTGGGCAGACGCTCCAGAGAGCCCCCATGAGCGCTGATTTCCCTTAAGCCAGGGGCAAAAGGCAGAGCTACAGACTGGTGACATCGTCTGTGTGACAGTGGGTGGGACAGTGGGGGTCCCGTCCCTAGGGCTGAGTTAGACCTCGGCATCCAGCCCACGTGTGTAGCACAGCCGGTAGTCAGAGGTGTGGACGCGTGTGTGGCAGGCGCCATGTGAGTCTGTCCCTGAGAACAGCCGCAACTGCTTTGCTTTTCAGATCAGCCGGGAGATGATGGAGAAAATCCCAGTATTGAGGAGCCTCCGCGCCCGAGAGCAGCAGGCTGGGAAGGACGTCACCCTCCAGGGTGAGCACCAGCACCTTCCGGAACCAGGCCGCCAGCAGGCAGTGCGCCTGAGTGCTGGCAGAAGGCCCCCGGACACACCCGGGCCAGAAGCCAGTTCCATGGCGGCAGCCCGTGGCTCCCCATCAGGGGAGGGTGCCCCGCTTGCAGCCGACGTTTATGTTGGGAACCTCCCCCGGGACGCCCGTGTGAGTGACCTGAAGAGAGCCCTGCGTGAACTCGGCTCCGTGCCCCTGCGGCTCACCTGGCAGGGCCCACGGCGCAGAGCCTTCCTCCGTTACCCAGACTCAGCCGCAGCCCAGCAGGCTGTCTCCTGCTTGCAGGGCCTGCGACTGGGCACCGACACCCTGAGGGTGGCGCTGGCCAGGCAGCAGAGGGACAAGTGACCTTGTGGAGAGCCACAGAGCTCACTGCAGACTCACCATCCCCATCCCCTGCTGCTCCGGTTCCCATGGCACTCGAGAGGCCTGCATGGCAAGACGTGGCAGAGCCACCGCGTGAGCTGCTCGGGTCTCAGTTCTTTCCAGAAGTTACCACTCAGTGAACGCCCAGGGCCTCCTGTGAGTGGGGAAGCGAGCCCACAGTCCATCTCACAGCACACACAGACTTCAGCCTCCCGTTCGTGCAGGCTCAGGCCTTGAGCCAGTTTGTGTTTCTCTGGAGGGACAGAGCAGAGGGGCCGGGGACTGAGTGAGTGGCGAAGCAGGGGTTGGTGATGTGAAGATGATCTCGGGTTTGCCAGGGGTGGGCTGAACGGGAGAAGATGGGCAAAGGATCCGGCTCTCAAGAGGCCCTGGCCGGGACTGCATGCCGGGTACAGAGAGCGCCCTTGGACTTTAGGGTCCTGAGCTGGCAGCATGGCAGAGAGAGCTCCATCCATGTCACAGGAGCCCAGGGAGCTCAGCCCCTGGGTAAAAAGTGCTCACTGTAGCTCAGATCAGTCCTCAGGTCACACTTTGGGGAGCCAGCGTCCCTTCTTCCCCTCCCCAGCCCACTCCTCCCTCTGCGGACACACACTCCGGGCCCTCAGCCAGCTGGCTGCACGGGGAGCAACTTGGTGTTGTGGGAGAGACCGGCTCTGGGAGAACGGGTTTCATCCCAGCCTACGTCACATTTGCCCAGTGCCTTACGTTTTCTGGTTTTTTCCCTCCAGTTCTGTTTCTAAAAACCAGCTGGAGTTTGGCTGAACTGTCCTTTCTCAACAGAAGCGCTTTTGCAATTGATCCCGGGCAACAAGTCAAAATAAGCTTTTAAGTGGAGATTTTATTTTTTTCAAATGTATATGCTTTGGAAATTTTGATTTTTTAGCCAGAGGGTTTTACCAAGTGTTATTTTAAGCACATTATTATGCCTCAAGAGGGCAGCCCTTGCACGCACTTTAAAGAAAATGTTTTCAGGACACTCAGTCTTCTCTTTGAAAGGGCATTTTCTCACTGGTTTTCCCGTGAAAATCCCGTGGAGACTTTGGAAAGAAAACGCGGCCTTAGATTTGCTCATTAAAGACTGATTTCCTTCCTAAGTCGCCATGAATAAAATGGGGGAGTAGAAACGTCTGGAAGCACCACACTTGGCCCTGGGCCCTGGGCCCACTGTGTCCTTGGCCTCCCCCCGACCCGCACGGCTGGTCACATTTGTCACTGGGCATTCAGCTCAGTGTCAGAGGCCGACTCAGCCCCCAGTTCAGAGTAGTCACCTGGTTGCACTGAAGTCCTCACCTTCTTTTCTCTCTTTTTTTAAAGAACACTTCTCTTTTTGAAAGATTCTCGTTTGTTTTTTTGTTTACCTTTTTTCTGTGGATTTGCTGCCGTTAGAATAGCAACTCGAGGAGAAGAGCAAGTGAGTCATCCCTGCCTTGTCCACTCCCTGTCCAGCCAGCAGTGGGCACAGCCCTGCAGACAGGAGCAAGGACTTCTGGGAATAGACCCACTGGAGCCGGGAGAGGGAGAAGCTGGATTCTGACCCCACCACTGAAACTCCTGTGTCCAGCCATGCCTGATGACCACCCCACCCTCAGACGGCCAGATTAAACCAGTCAGTACAGGCTCACTCAGGGAAGCCAGACTGCTGGGGTTCCCTGACACTTTAGCCAGAATAATCCAGGTGTATGGATACACAGATAATCTGAAGGAGTTTCTCATTTTTATATTTGTGGAACATCGTGTAAGAAAAACCAAAGAGCAAGTGCGTGAAATAAAATCCCCCACATGTATCAGCCTGCACACCTTTGACTGCCCTGTCCTTTGCAGGGAGACCTGTGGGGACAGTTCTCAAGGACTGTAGTGACAGGTGGTAGTGAGGCAGGTACTCAGCTACCCAACTTCTTGTTCCCACGGTTGATGTGTATAAGAGACAGGTGGGTAGTGAGGCAGGTACTCAGCTACCCAACTTCTTGTTCCCACGGTTGTTGCGTGCTCATCAGCATCGGGATTGTGTCACTCACATGTGATAAGAGGAGAATGAATGGAAGACAGTCACTTGACAAGTGCTGAGACCATCCCTTTTGTTTTTATATCTATTATTATTTTTTGAGACAGGGTCTCACTCTGTCACCCAGGCTGGAGTGCAGTGGCATGATCACTGCTCACTGCAACCTCGAACCCCCAGGCTCAAACCATTCTCCTGCCTCAGCCTCCAAGTAGCTAGGATGATACAATTGAATAAACAGAAAACAAATCAACGTGGGGCCTTTGAGAGACTCAAAGTGAAGGAACCACATCGTGAAAAAGTTTCACTGCAGGAATCGAGAAAATCTCAGGCACCATCCACTCCTTAGTCCTGAGACATTTGATACGGTTTTGCACGAAAAAAGTTGTGTCGATGAAGTGTCCTTGAAACTTTATTAAGAAAAATGTTTTTTAAAAAGGAAAATGTGTCAATTTTTGCTCGTGTCTGCTCTGATCTTACAATATACAGGAAAACATGAGCTCTAAAAATAGAAGTCCTGTGAGGTGGGTGAGGATCCTAAACAGCCTGCGGACAGCACAGCGAGCAGGAATGAAAAGCCCAGCAGGAAGGCTGGTGATACTTTTAAGAGTACCAATCCCTACTCACAACATCGACATTTGTATTAGAAGCTGGGCTGTGGCGGGAGAAAGAAAATCTGTGAGTAGTAAGACGAGAGTGCTGGAGACCAGGCGGTGGCAAGCCACAGCCAACCCCGGTGTGGAAGGCAAGACCGCCCCGGCATTCAGAAACAACAGGAGGACTTCCCTGGGCTGCGGAGGCAGCGTCTGAGCCAGGGCGTCTCCACACACCTGTGGCGGGAGTCTGGGCCTCGTCTACAGATATGAGCAGGCAACAAGTAGCTGCCAGACAGCTGAGGACATCGGCATCTTGAGACACGTGCTAGCCGTTGTGGACATGTTCATACAGGAGTCACAAAGGGACTCGGAGGCCATCGTGTCCATTAAAAAGAGAATGGACTGGTAAGAAAAAACTCCTTAGAAATTGAAATCACAGGC